TAGCAATTTTTTCAGGCACTGGTACCATAGCTGTTTTCAAAGCTTGAGCATCACCTAGAGGACGAACATTACTAATTTGTATATATTGCTCCGATGCCGTAAGAATGCTATTATCAGGTGGATTATTATTACTAAGAATTTGTGCGGTAGGAAACTCAGTTTGTAGACGTTGTGTAAATGCACCGATGCGTTCATATTCAAGTCCACGATAAACGAACTGTTTGTTCTATAGAAATAATGTTGCTTTTAGTATAAAGCGATAAAATTGTTATTATAACCTTTATTTACCCGCACAAAAAGTGGGAATCCTAAACCATAAAAGCCCACGCGAAAATATTCTGGTTCAGGACGTAATTGTGTTAATATATTTTGGAAAAATTTGGCCTCTAAAATTAAAATTTCACTCAATTTATTATAATCGAAACGGCGTGTTTCGTAAAGAACAGCTAGTTCCTTGCAAAGGGGAATGCCCTTCTCCCAACATTTTCCTTTGTCAAAGTATTTCAATATCTGATAGGATTAAAAAAGAATAAAGATAAAGATAAGATAAAGAATAAGGATCTGTTTTTTAAAGAAATTTAGATATTTAAACACAGTTTCATTACACTTGTTGTAACTTATGACAAGAAATAATAGAATAGATATATTTTTTAGTTCACCTCATGGTACAAACGCTCTTTACGTTGCCATTCTGGTTGGCCTATGGTATCACTTGGTGCAAAACTTAGAGACTCACGATCCCAACTTAACATGCTTGCGTACAATTTTAAGGTGAAACCAGCTTCTGTGAAGTTGTCAGCTTGCAAATGCAAATCATGTAGTTTGTATATATATCTAACATATAAGAGATAAATATAGTATTTTTATTATTGTTTATGTTAGTTTGAATTACCTTAGATACATCTCCTTGCGATTTATTTCATTTTTATAAAAATTTAAAAGATTTACTGTACATGACATGCGCTTATCACGATTTTCTTCACCTTGCATAACGCTGCGATAATCTAATAATCGTTCTAATAATCTTGTAACAGATGCTATAAATGCTGTGCCAGCATCTTTCCAACCAGGGTTCTCAGTTTGTACTTTCTCCAAGAGGCTATTTCATGCGTAATAATTAAAACATAATAAATGATTTGTTTATAATTTATTATTAAATTAAGTGCAATTATAATATGAGAAAACAAAAACTATTTTTAAATATTCTTAAATAATATAGTCTAATAAGAACAATTTTTGATGTTAGTAATAACTTAAAAAGCATTATAATATGTACTATTAGTTAAAATTTAATGGCGACAAAATTGCAAAGATCTATAGAGATTTAATATATTAGCTTTTATTGTGACTGTTGGCGACGCTTTGCATTAAGGGTAAAAGCCTCTTCATATGGTCTGTATTTTTTTAGGATTAAATTGCTCTTCGTAGTCAAGAAGAACTTAATTAATAACTTTTAATTTAAGAATAGGTCTAAAGACAATAGAATGGACTAAATGATAAAAAGTTATTGGTAATACTAACCAGAGATCTCTGTTAAGGAATACCTTAACTAGTCGTACTAGAGGGATTTTTAGGATTTTCACCTGGGGACTTATTAGTCCGTAGGCATGTATGATTCAATGAGTTGTACATTAATCGGGTATGCAAATGGTACGGGCCATTTGAATTTTTAGAGAAATAATAATTTTTCCAGGGAAATAATAATAAATTTAAATTAAACAAGCATAGTCCATATTTTGTATTTTGTACATTAGTTTTTTCATAGTTACAATTCAAATAAAAATGTTTTTTTACTGATATTTTAGGAATCTATAACATATCTTGTTATTACCTGAAGAATATAAGTAATTTATGCATTAGTTAATATTATTGACTATTTACTCGATTGTTCGACACATAGCAAGAAAGATGTATATGATAGTTAAGACAATATATTAGCAATAGACAACATCAAAGTAGTTTATTATATGAGTCTGATTTTAGGAGCAGCCGGGTCTAAACTACGTTGCTTAACCCTACTCCAAATTAAGGTCGCTAATCTTGACTATAATACCAGCAGCAACAACCTAAATCTATTTAAAGTATTTTTCTAAGAATACACAATACCAGATTAGTTTATAATGTAAATCTGATTTTAGGGGCAGCCTGGTTACTTTCCGTGAGTAGTTGCTTGTACGCTCGTGAGTACAAGTAACTAAGTGCCGCTTAATCCTTCTATTAGAAATCCAAAATTAGTCTAGATAACAACACCCACGCAAGTCTATTCATTTTATTAATATTAATACAATAAGTATTATTTATAATACATAAAGAGCACGTAATAGTTCTTAGCATTACTTAAATAGATTTATACATGCAAGCGATGAACGCAAATTATGAAAATAAATAAATATAAAAAATATAATACATAAATATATAAAACTAATTATATTACTTTTAAAATTATAAAAACACACTTAAGGATTAGTCGGAACAACTACATACGAGTATATATCTCTAATGCGTAAAAGGCTAAAATGAGTTAATATGGACTTACACCAAGCTTAGATGTTCCCTTTGATGTGTTTGCATTATTATAAAAAAATTATATAAACATGTTTCATAATTTGAAGTATTGATAAGCAGTGATTATATATATTACATAGTATTTAAAAAATATTTTTACATTTATATATTATACACAAAGTTCAAAATAAATTCTTTACATATATATTATAATTATTATAACAAAAGCAAAAGGATATATAAATATTAATATTTATACGATATATATAAACTTACATAGTGCTAAAGAGTTCACGATATTCATCATCGCCTTTATTTTCACTAATCAATAAATCTAATTTATCAATTAGTTCACTTTCCACTAAACGAAAAGATCCCCGCGCACTCTGTTATAAAATATTACATATTACATATTTTATAATTATATATATGTAAACAAAATGATACATAAATTTAATTTTAACAAACCTGTTCGCACTGCATCATATCATAAAAGACTGTCAAAGTTGCTTTTCGTAACGCCGGTTCCGGTACAAGTGTTACTTCAAGGAACGGTCCTACCATTGAGGGAATAAAATGTAATTTTTGCTCTCCTAATTGCGACCACATGCTTAATATTTGGAAGCCCATAAGAACACGCATATCGCCATGTGAATGTAATATTTTACGTCGCTTTGGTTCACGGTATTGCTCCAATTGCAGAGAAGGTTGAGTTAGAAAAGCTACAGCTAAACTAAAGTAAGACCACCAAAGCTGTGAGTCAAAAGATTGTAAACCCAAAAATCGATATACTAAGGGTTTAGCAAATTCTTCAAGCGCTTTACGTAGCACATCGTTACTAGCCAATTTCATTATAAGCCAATCAGTAGGGAAGACAACCCAATCCTGTGAAAGTAATTCTTCGAACACAAGCAATGATTTACTTAGAAACTCTTTTAAATCACGTGGATCTTTGTTTGGACTTAGTTCATCCCAAAAGCGCTTATAATGAGTTTCATCAAGCAGTTGCAATAACCCAAGTAAACAAGCCACTAGTTGTGGTAAAACAGTATTTGCGCCTTCCATCATGATGATAATTGTTTTAATGAGGATGCCAAGTATATTTTTGCAAAGCGAATCCAAATCGTGCTGTAGTGTATTCGTGACTTTTTCTTTCTGCTCCTTCTGCAGGTCATAAAAATGTGTTAATATTTCTGATAAAATTTCAGCACATAAACGTAGTTCATCACGTCTACTGAGATGCATACGTAAGTGTTTACAGGCCACAGACAGTATTACAGTGCGAGAGTCTTTAAATATGAAATATAAAAATGTTATGATATGAGGATACGGTTTGGTATAACAGTGAAAGCTTACCATCTTCATGAAATAGTTCTCCTGATACTAAATCCTTTACTGCATTTAGTTTGGCTTGTATTAAACGTATGGGTGCATCTCTTGGTATGGCATCTAACATATTGCGTGCTAGCATACCCAATTCTGGCGCTGGTAGAGTGTCTTTCAATTGCTCCAATACCACACCGGTTGAGTTCAATAAAGCTTCCTGCGTTGGTATTATAACATCGTATGAAGGCACTGCTAACATACCATTTAGAGCTGTAAATAGTGAATGCAGATCACGGCGAAATGAATCTTCATATTGTCCACCGGTAGCACGCGCAAATAGCTTGCGTGATTGTATTAATAATTTGAAAATATATTCTAAAGAACCAAAACACTTTTGAAATGGATCGGGATGTTCAGCTTTTGTCATAAATACAGCCATGTGTTCAACTGAAGTTATCAGGCCTTTGTAGACCAATGCAGCAGCAAAATGATTTTCAATATAAGCATTCATAACTGGACGAAAATGTTGGAATTTGTTACTTTGTAGTAAACTGAATATGCTGACCAACACATGAAATACCAATCCTGAATGCTGTGTGCTATTTCCTTCTTCATTTGAAAACATTGCGAATAAAGCATCTAAGACATCTTGTAAAAATTTAACCAACTCTTCATCATTAAGACGCAAGACACCAGTGAGGGAGTCTTGAATTGTTTCTGGATGTGCACGCCATTGCAACAAAGATAGTAAGTCCGCATTCTGAGTTAATTTTGTTGAGCACAATAGAGATTTAATGACGAAAACTTCCTTGGAGCTGCGATGAAAAATTGAACTACAATCTACTTTAGCTTGTGCATCTTTTGGTCTACAAGGTAACTTTAAATAATTAGCAGCCAACAGTTTTGTAGCATCCTCACATTTGTACACAAACAATTCGTGCTGACCATCCGTTAAGGTGGCACCACTAGGATCCATTAAACGCGCGAAACTAAAAGCAAATAGCTTGGGCTCAGATTTTTCACGTGTCGAACAATGACGAAATTCGAAGCGGACATGTGCTGTTGAAAATTTATCAATAGGTACAGTAAGTCGTAACATCTCATTCCAACATGGTGAGTTTTGATGATATAATATCATGGATTTATAACAATTCTGTGAGTCCATACCAGAAGCACCCCATAAGCATTCAGTCAGGATATTGCCAGCAACATCCAAAACAACCACAGTGACCAAAATATTTTTTGCAGTATTTTTTCCTCCACGTTCGAATTCGCCCCTTTCCAATGTGATGAACATATCATTACGTACATCGCCGGGCATTATAACATCCGGGAAGCCCATTTTGCGAGTTATAGTAGTACCTTGAAATAGTAATGGCTGTTCCTGTCGTGCCTGCCCCAAACCGCCATGCAGCAGCTTTAGTGAAACTATAATGCCCTGCGTTGTTTGGTTACCTGTAGTGATTGGTGAAAATTTACTATTTGACTTTTTTATTATCAGTTCATGTAGTTGATTGAAGTCTTTTTCTTCACATTGAAAAATCTGTAAATATAAGGTGTGTAAATGTACTGTAATAATTAGAATGCTAATCGGTTCAAGTTTACCTTAAAACTCTTTTCCCGTTCTTCTGATTCTATGCTACTGTCAAATTGACACAAGTCATTGAGTGGAAGTACACCAACACCAAAGGGACGCCGATATACTGAACCAGTACAACAGCCAGTACCTTTTTCTACTTTTTTAACTGATTCAGAATGTATGATTTTACCCACTCGCATGATAACAGCGACGAGAAATAGATCTTCACTTAAATCCGCTGCACCTATAGGCATAGTTAGGTAAAATAATAAAAAATAATGAAACGGATTGAAATAGGTAGATATTTACGCACCTAGGTCTGTGAACACTGTGCAATTGCTATGAAATTTTTCTATATAATTCGAAAAGCCATCTCTATTTATTTTAACTAAAAATCGTTCTGAGACTGCTCTCATATGCGCTGGATTACCATCGTAAAGAAAAAAGTAAACTTCTGCATCATCGATTCCGATTCGATAGCCAAAATCTCGCATACAAAAGTATAAATGATGTGTCAAAATTTTTCGTTGTGTTTTTCGACGTAAGGTACCACGACTCTGTTTTGGAATAGAGTAAATAATTTAGATTCAATGTTATTTTACTGTAAATAGTGAATATGAATACTCACTGAAGAAGCTTTTGCGTTATCTGCACTTGTTACATGCACATTATATAGTCCTACAATTCCAATATTGTGTGGATCCACCGCAAGTGGCCCAATACGAGGTACAAGATCAAGTCCAAGTTTGCTAAAAAATAACAAAAGTTTATGTATTTATAAATTATATATTTATCTGATTGGTTTTTCTTATGTATTATACATAATATTTTCTATATATTATATAATAACAATATGTTCTTAAATATCTAAATATATATCAAGACAAACAGACAATTTCACTTGTTCATAGCAATAACAGCAGAATATTTGTTTGTTACAGTATTGCGGAATTCTATTGGATTGACGTAAAAGATCCATCGAAATTCTCCAGAAATTCATTTCTCTTGGTATCAGCATATACTACAGTAATCATTCAGCCTAGAGATCAGACAATCGATTGCAGCTGTCAATAAGCGTTGATATTATTTCTGTAAAGGCATAGAAGTCTCTTTCTTGACTGACAATACCTACAACCCCAAAACGCACTCATAATCTATGGTATATAGCACTAAGTATGCATTTTAAAATAGAATTATGTAGTAGTACTAGGAGGATTTGAGAGAAAATTTTGTTCATATGACACCTGGTCTTCTATGCATAAACGATGAGTATTGCATTCAAATCAATCAAGAGCTATATGACATTTTTACTATTCTATGCATTACGATCCAACGGCTTTACTCTTAGTCATATCATAAGGTTGTAACAAAAAAGTGTATATATAGTGTGACATAAAAGAGGCATACAAAGCTCGAGTCTGATCAATTTAATGAACCAGTAATCGTACTTGATGTACGCGTCTGTAGAAGCAGTGTATAAAGCAGAGAAGAATAAAGTACAGATTTGTCAGGCCGAAAACAGGTAAACGAGTTGTTATGACAACGTAGATAAACAAATATCAATAATATATAATATAAGAAAAGACGATTAAGGTATTTTAATCGAGCCAAGACGAAAGCAACCCTTATAACATAAAGACTGGTCGCAGTTCTTTTTAAATGAAACCAAATGAAAGTGCTACAATTATTGTAAAAAACAAATTACCTTTTAAAAACTTATTAAAACTTTAAAGATATCGAAAGAAGTCTGTATTCTTTTCTAATAGTGGTTACCGATGAGTTTTACTTTTTTTTAAAATTCTGAGGTCGTTATCAGTGAATATAAGCTTTGGTAGACTTATCTAAAAAAAAAAAAAGAAAGCCTCTTAAAGAAAACTACTTTATCATTATCCAAAAAGTTATATGTCTGAAATAGGACAGTACCTTATGGTATCTATTGTTAATTTGTATCAGAAAGGCTTTATTTATTTCCTTACAGTTTCATTTATGTTAAAGGCCACATAATAAAAAATCATATTGAGCTATGAAATTGTTGATGGGAGAAGTTTTTATAAATTAAAGTAATTGTAAAACTTTCATATTTATTACGTTAATATCCCCTATAGGTTACATGTACAACTAACATGTTATCATGAAAACTACTTTACCTTTTAATGTAATTTTTAAAACTACTTATGGGAGCTTCATTGAAATCTCAAATGAGGTCACATTTATGGTAGCAATTATTGACATGAACTGCACAAAACTAAAGAAATTTATATAGTATACATACTATATACATTGAGTTAATCTGGATAAATTTTTAACAAGTAATAAAATAGTTGGTAATATACGTTCTCGGCGCATTTTCAATTTAATGTCCTTTAAACAAATAAGTAATGTTTCTTTTTTCTTTTTTTTAAAAAGTAGACGTGAAAATTGCTCAACAGCCGGTACTGCGGCCAGAAGAGTCCTATTGTACCAGTTTCACTATTGATTAAACAAAGCCCCTTAAAGCTTTGTGAATAAAGTCTAGAACTAAATCTAGAGAAGAGTTCTTAAACTGCTCTGGTGACAAAAATTCTTCATGAAACAGGTTTCTTCTGTGCGTTATTAAAGCTGGATAGTCACAAAGAATGTGCATGGTCGTTTCCTCATCTTCGAGGCATAATCTGCATTCCGAGTTAGCAGATA